ATATATGGCAGATCAAGCTGACAAAACTATGGCGCCAAGACGTGTTAACACCAATTAAGAAGGAACAAGTGCAAGAGACATTACGCGTAAGCAGGAAGTTGAGAGGGGAAAAAATGACCTACAGAAATCAGGCAAGGATGCATTTTTTTATCAACTTCAGCAAAGCAGATTTTGGGATTATAAGCGATGTCATAATCTGAACTTAGTACTTTGAACCTGAACTTTCGTCTTGCGTGATTTCATTGTGAACAAGAAGTGACTCTCCTCATGCTTCCTTCATTCTAGTATGTCCAAACTTTCCTGATAATGATTATGTTTGTATACACTGATGATAGATCTCTTGGCGATACTAGAGTGAAAAAGTAAAAGAATCTTTTACTCAAAACGTTGCACACATTTTCTCAGAACTACACTCAGTTGTGATAACATTGCTTATTTACTCGCACACTTTTCCTCCTTGGGTAATTTTCTCCGCAGTATTTTTTAACAAATGATTTAGAAACTTCTGATTTATGGTAACAATGTAAAATGTATGCATAAATAAAAAGGTAATTGGCGTAAGTAAAAAGATTGTTTATGAAACTGGAAAGTCCTTTAATATAGATAACACAATAGCATTAATTCGTGTCTTAAATGCCCTATGCTTGCCATTTAAGCCGTCACTTCAGAAATGTTCTCCTTCCTGTTTTGAAGCATTAAAATGAGTAGGATAACTAACACGATATTTAAATGGTTATATTTCCTAACATCAACAACAGAAAAACAAATGCAATAAACTTTAGGATTTAAGACGCCTTTGATATTGACTGCACAGAAGTGAAGTCAATCCCTCATAGTTTTGAAACATTTGATTCCAGATCATCTCCCCCCTCCCCGCAAGATTTCAAACAATATGCCATCATAGGATTTCTAAAAAAACATTCCTTGATTTGATTCTTTATTGTTAAGGAAAACAATGTGAATATATATATGCTAAACAATGTGAATATTGCCAGTGTATTGCACATGTTAAACTACAAAGTGGTCAAAAAGTCAGTCCAAAAGTCTTGTTACCCTCTAAGTTCTTTGCATAGACGTAAATTTCATGTTTAAAATGGCGATATGGCGATAAAAGAATGGGGGGGGGAGTGTCATCCCCATTCTTTTATCTTTATTGCGATATATGTTGTTGTCTCACAGAGATTTTTCACGTGGTGAGAGATCGAAACGTTTTGCAGGCCACTCCATCGTATGGTTACAGACTGTTGGAACGAGCAGTCAACTAGCAGATCTAATCATTGAAAGCTCTGGTAAAAACCGTCTTCGCAATATGACAAGATATTGATTGATTGTTCCATTAAAAAATTAAGGACCTAGAAAGCTATCAGTTAATACTTATTGTTTGAGGAGAAGTGTAGAAAAGAAATATATTGTTGCGAAATGCTCAACTGAGCTTTCCCACAAAGCAGGTTAGAGTTGCCATAAAATGGCAAAGAAAATGCAGGGTTGCCAGATTTGGCGCGAAATCACCCATTTGGCGACAAAATTGATGATATGTCATAGATGGAGCGATAACATTCTAGAACGAATTCTTTCCGGTTTTTCCCAGAATGTTCCCGAAGGCAGGTCAAAATCTATAAATACCCTGAACGCGAAATAGCAATTTTATCGTGAACAGTATCTTGAGTGAATTGAATTCAGAGATTGGCTTGAGAGCGATCGACTGAGTGGGGAGCTGTACTTTAGTGCTTTGCCGTGAAGGCTGTCTTCACCATTGTAGCCTGATAGCCTGAAAGCTGTGTTGCTGGTTATTTCAGCTTGTTTATTGAAGTTTTTCGACGACTGTAACGTATCTTTATACCTGTCCTTTGTAATACTGACGAATAAATTGTGTTTTAATTCCTCATCCAGTGCTCTTATAAATCACTCCAAATCCACGAACCCCTAGAATGCAACAATATATTAGCAAAGGACAGAAAAGGTAAGAAGACATTCAAACGGTCCTATTTGAGCTCTACATATTTCCCTTCCTTTTGTGTCCTCTGTTTCCCAGCCTAGAATAAGAAATATAATGAACCCTCGGTCCCGAATGTATCTCATCTCATCTCGAATAAATCTGTTCATAAACAAATTATCTAAACAAAAATTCTAAAAAAATTTCAATAAATTATGGAGATTTAAAATTTACTTTTTAATACGAAACAGGAAGTGTAAGTCTCTGCTGATTTGTTTTTCCGGCTCCTTCCTGTAAAATTAGCTGACTAAATTGCCCTAATACATAGAAAATTGGACCCTATAGCTCACGGGAAAAGAGTAATCTTCTGTTTCTCGTTGACCTCTAACAAAGTATGTGACTAAGATAAACAGAAACACTAACTTTTCTGCTGTAAAGTGTGTTTTTGCTTTGAATATGAATTCTGATTTAATTTACATAAATAAATGAACATATTCTTCAAATTAAAGTACTTAAAAATACAAGTAAATAAAAGTGTAATAAGATATAAAAAAAGTCTGAAAGGTTTCAGATTTTAAATTACATCCAAAGGGGCGTTTGTTTAACGTTTTGTGTGTTACCTTTATTTATTAAATATCATGTTCTTTTGCACTTAAACCATAAAATTCAGTTCAGTAGCAATGTCGCAAAATAATTTTAAAATGAGCCTATCTTTAGAATTTCCGATACACAGTTCCGTGCCCGCTGGAGATAAAAAGGTTTCCCCCTCCCCCGTAGAGTGTTGCCATTGCTCGCTTTTGAATCGTTGAGTTTGTTACTCAAAATTTCGTTAAAATTTTACAAAATATAAAACCGATAATAAAACAAATTCTAAATTTCAAATTTGGTCTTCCACATGCCCATATTCATAGGAGGATTACGTCATTCAAAATTCGATGGGTCTATGTACCGTTGTTTTATCACAATGCGAGAAATATGCATACATTTATGCAGATTTTTCATTATTTAATTTCTTAAAATATAATGCAGGACTCTAACATTGGGTGGCAACAGTTTGAAAAGTGAAACGGACATTTATAGTGATTCAACGCAAAATCGCAAAACGAAAACAATAGTCCTTCAGAGACAAAGCCCCTTTGGACTAATTATTAACACTATTCTCTCTTTACTATAATACAGCTTATTCTTTGCTGGGTTTGACTTTTTATAACTGCTGTCGAATTACTCTGACTTAGAGTTAACCGAAGACGTGACCCCGATTACACTTTATTCACTGACATTTCTTTCCACAGTTCAAACAGTTTCTCCAAAGCCATTTCTTTAGGCAGTATCTGTAAGTTGTATATTAAATTGCATAAAGTTTAAGAGGAAGGAAGAAAAACATGGATGTATATCAGAACTGGATAAGGGTTCAAATCCGGCTTGCAGTTGGAATATAATCGCATAAATAGCTGATGGAGTTTGCTGACCAGACTAGTTCACTGATGCGAGATACTTCATTCTTCTATCAGTTAGTAAACATATTTTAACTAGACCATTGTTTGCATTTAGTACTTTTTAGTGCTTTGCTAAAGGCTCAGTATCAGGCGACACTTCAAACCAAAAGATTTTTTTTTTCCTTTAGGAAAAATTGAAATCTAAATGTAGATTAAAATTTTCCTGAAAACGAATATTTGTATTTTCAAGACGAGGTAACTAAAATAGTTAACTGAACACCGAAATAATCACAGAGCAAGTTACAGACTCATTTTTATATTAAATGTTATAAGCTTTGAATTCTTATGATTTTAAAAAGGAACTAGTCTACATTTTTAGAAATATAGATAATATTTCTGAAGAAACTAAAAGCTTATAATGATAAAATTAAATTTAAAATAACAGCATGAAAATCCTCTGTAATAATAATAGCATTGAAATTTTCCAGCTAAAATATGGAATTATTGCATATTGCATTACAGATAAAATATGGCATGTACATTTTTAGTCTGAAATTTTAAATACACATCTTTCTCATTTTTAAGACTTTTTTTAATGGTCTCTTAAAAAAATGTATAAATGGTGTTTTACTGCATTCATGTAGATGCCAATAATTATAACCTGTATGTATAAGATTTTACTGTGTAGGGATTTATATTTATTTTAAATAACCAATTTTATTTAATTTATTAATATTATTGTTATTATTTCCTATAAGCCTCCATTGCCTTAATTATGCCAGAATATTTAAATTTGGTAGCGGGCGTGAAGGAATGCAAATTCTACCTTAAGAAAGAGTTTAAAAACCGAGGTTCAGTGGGTTCAGAGAGAGGTAGGCTATTACCATCCTGTTGCGTAAGCATCTGCTCCCGGAGTTGTTGCTGGTTTTACGTGGTATAACTGCATTCACTTGCTGCCTCTCGTTTTCGACGAGGGTTTAAGAAACAGGGAATTATCTGAGCACAGTAGCTTATTTCTACGACTTGTGCATATCTTTAAATTTTTAGTTTCGTTCTGTGATTTTAGTTACCGCCCAAGAAGAGGCGTAGTGTGTTAGCGTCGAATTGACGCATTGTAGATTTTAAAGAGTATAATAAAATGGATACCTTTAACCCTTCTTCTTTGCAGTTACTACTCACTGAGAAGTTAGACAAGTAAACCCTACAACTGTATAACACACAGTTTTCGCTTAATTATTTTCAGTTATGGAAGTACATGTTTGCTTCCAAAAGAAATTGACTGGGAATCATCATAAATCACTGGCAGTATAAGGAGGCTTTCTAATTCTTGATATGTTCTGAGGTTTAACTGATAAATATGATTTTAAAAAAGTAAAGTTAGAACCAGCTGCGTGCCAATGATTAATATTAGGTCAAAAACATTACATCAGACTTCAAAGAATTTAACAAAACAACTTGATCATAAAATAATGAATTTTGTAATGTTTCTTATATTCTTGGAATAAATACTAGTTATCGTGTAGCACATTCGGAAAATACTTGCAGCTGAAAATTTCAGTTGCATAGCATGTAAATGGTTTGTATATATGTGTATAATTAATACTTTCTTCACAAATAATTTTCCGTTTCAGCCTTGGATTTCCAAAGGCTTCTGTATTATGTACAACATCCGAAAACTCTATGCCGTACGGCACTTTCCTTAGGAGGGAGCAAAGATGCACGAAACAGGATGGATGGAGACAAAATCATTTGCCAAGATGCTGGAGCGCCTCTGAAGCCGCCCTGTATAGTATATTCTTTCGGGTTAGTATTTTTAATTTCTAACACCTATATGACGTAAACCACTACAACATATTTCAACTTTTTCTATTTGCTTGTTTTTTAAATTTAATGAATTAGCATTGAGATGTTATACTGTTATACTGAATACTCTTAAAGCAATACGAGAAAGGCCGAATTAACCTGTTTTGGGTCCTTAGACATTTTTCTTACCGGGCCTTCCACAAGAAATAGAAAACGCAAAAAAGTATTCCCCAAAAATGTAGACAAGGAATCAAAATAAACAAATAAATAATTCTCCTCAATTAGTCTTCATGCATATGTTAATTTTTATTAAAAAATTTATTAAAAATTAAATTTATATTACCTGATTATATATATGCATTTCATTATATATCATTACCCAAAAGAATTAGAATTCGTTGATCCTATTTTATAAACTAAAAAATTGAATTATCTTTTGTTAAATGTTAAAACTGGTTGCCAAAAAGTATGACATCAATTCACAAATCGTTTTTTTCGCTTTCAATTCTGAGAAGTCTTCAATTATTTTCTTATTATTGATATTATCTAAAGCAGTGCTTCTCAAACTTTTTGGGTTCGCGGACCGGTAAAACTTACGAAAATATTTCACGGATCGGTGGTTTTTTGCCCCTAACTCCCCCCCAAAAAAATCTTTACAAGGTATTCAAGAATTACTACGTAAGTTAATTGTAATATTCTTATTACCATTTGCCTACAATCATATTTAAATATAAAGATAAGTAAATATTGTTATTATTACATATCAGTATAATTATCATATATAAGCATATAAACCTTTGAGAAAAATCACACAATATTACAAAAAATAATCACAAAAACCCTTGCATATAGAAACGGATAAGTGGCGGTCTCTGGACAAGCGAATGAGGATCCTTATGAAACGCCACTTGTCAACCTTTTCTCGTCCTCAAGTGGTAACAACTGACATAATCGGAATTCATAATAATGCTTTCGTTGGAATACAAACAACATATTCAGGTTTTGGACAATTTTCTTCTGATTGTGGCCAAAGGACAAAACCATAGTTCAAATAGTCTGCGATATAGTGCCTTACAAATCTTTTTCTTTTTTTGGCAGATTGTGGACTACATTCACCTCCATCTGTATTCGAAGGGGCAGACGACGTACCTGGTTTTGGAGAACACTTTCTTTGCATGAAATTTAATAATGTGCCTTTCGTTTCCTCCTTACTCATCCTGGTTATTGATTTTCAATCTACCTAAAGTTACAGAAATAGTAGTTCTAGCACAGTATTAAATTCAGAAGTTATTAAAAACAGTTATTGAAAACGTGCAGAAGAATTTAAGCAAGATTAAAAAGCGAAACCTAACCTAAGACGCTTTAAACACTACGATAGATATTCAGCGTTCAAGTAATCAGCGATACTCAAGGCAGACCCCCAGGGGCACATTAACTGGTGTACTAAGTGTACGGCATGGCAATTTATGAAAGTCGATTAGGTACATAGTTGCTAGTTTGTTTTATTTTTCATCATCGATCATATTATTTTCTAAACTAGTAAACTATTGTTATTGTAATGTAGGTACTGTTGTAATATCGGTTGTCAGCCGATGAGACTTTGGGTTGGACAGATAGCTGGATATTTTGCAGACCGGCAAATATTTCTTGCGGATCGGCGGTTGAGAAACACTGATCTAAAGCATTTTTTTTTTCGATGCACAGTAAAATTAAAAAAGTTAATTTTGATTGTCTGGTGATATATTTGATATTTAATAACGAATTATTATGTATTAAGCCTATACTATATCTTCTTTCCGTGGCTCTCACCAGAATGTATATTAGAGTTGTTCTGAGTATTAAGCTGAAGATGAATGTTTAGATGAGGGTTCCTGAAAGCCGCGTTTTGCTGTTACTATCCCCTATGCTTCATTAGTATTCTGGCTTTAATGCCTTGCTAACCAACGTTTAAAACACGCGCCGTTAAATATCTGGGCCAGTTTGAATACCCTATTTTATGTATAATCTCAGACGACATTATCAGTATTTGAGGTCACGGAGGTTAACAGATGATGAATTTTTACCCATAAAACTGTCATCTCATACAGTGCTCAGGTAGGTTGCATCGTATGCGGTGGCATCTGCTATTAACCTTATGACTTTTGTCGCTGTACTTTGTTCTTGCCGTACCAGATATAGTGTTTTGGAGCTTGCAAGTCTTATATTGCATTTGCGCTCACAGTACTGTGGTAAAGAGGGCTATCCGCCTTTTCAGGCTGAGAATTTTTCTGACTTTATGTGTATTTAACATGCTACACCAAGCTGATGCTACATGGCAGACTCTTGGCACTGTCTCCGTATGATACCATGATTTTCGAAGTGCTAAGGAAATGCCGCACGTTCTTCCAGTCATCCGTAGTAGACTATTGTACTGCTGATATCTTTCAGGCGTTCTATATGTCAAATTTAATTGAACTTATCATAAAAAATAATGACAAGGTATTTTAACGTTTTGCTTTTCTTGACTAAGTGCTCATTAATTTTGAAGATTAGATACCTGGTTAGGATTTGGGGATTTCCAATTACTACATCAACTGTTTTTTCGTGTTGCTGCATAAGCTTATCCTGTAATCAACAGTTTGTTAGACAGTCTAGCGTTTAATTTTCCCTGGCTTGTTATCTTCTTGCGGCACTCGTTCCTACTGTTATTAGGATGTCATCTGCATGTGTTTGTGCATGTACATTTAGATCAAAATGCTAAATACATTAAGCGCTCCATCTGCTACAACATTCCATAAGACAGACCAAGACACAATCCTTGTGGGCAATCTGTATCTGTGTCTCTTTTGAAGATGCCTCCATCTGTGGTGACTCTTAATCTTCTGTGTGAGATAGCTCCTAATTATTTGAATAGCATCATTACTAACTCCCAGGTATCCCAATGAGGCCAGTAAATATCTGGCCACCAAAGGGTGTCACTTCTTTGATGTCAAGCTAGATCATTGCCGTATACTTGTCCCTTGCAGAATTGCTATCTCTGATTGTCTTAAGGTTGTGCAGCAGGTGATTCACCGAAAGTAGGTATTTAAAGCCAAAGGGAAGATAGTTTTTTCTAGCAGCTGTGCACATATTATGTTGCAAACTTCTTAGAATAAGTCTCTGAAGAAGCTTACCTTAAGACAGCAAGAGACAATCGATCAATGGGAGAAAGGCAGTGGCGTTGAACGACCTTTCAAGTATGGAACTATTTCAACGTCCTCTACGAGATTTGGAAAATATCCCATTTTCCAGAAACGCCTGAGGAATGAAAACACAAGTTTACTAAATGCTCAAAACATTTCTATTATGATAGTGTTTTCCATACCCCCAAATCTGGTCCTACAGCCTTATTGCGATTCAGCCTTTTTAGTTGATTGTCCACTTCCAAGTGAGGGAAAGGCTTGCTTGTGAAGTTGCCTTGACTAGATGTAATATGTCTTGCTTGTTTCCGAACCGCTGTATGACAAGGTCATGTCCGTATTTTTGATATCCGAATAGATTCACAAGAATAATTCACTGTTGTAATGATGCTATGTCATTGCTTGTAACTCCTCGCATTAAGGGGCGGTGCCTCTGTAAGGATGCATTATTTGCTAAATTTCTATGTCGTATTAGTTTCTTTGCATCTAGCATTGCCAACTTATATCTGGCACATTCCTTTTTGAGACAAATACAAAATTGGTGTCGTACTTCTGCATCACGTCTGCCTGATATCTATGGCTGCATGAGTTAGGCATTTTCTTGTGGATGCTAAGTTCCTCTGTTCACTAGGTATGGTGATTTTAATTGGAGCTTTTTTTTTTAATTTGTAATCTATATAGCTATTATGCATTCAATTTGTAAGTTGAATGGCTTTTATGCATTCAGTTGCAAGCTACATAGTTGTACTTCTGTTATGCTTTCTACAAGAGCTTTTGTGGCTTCAAGATAGACTGTTGCATGACTGGACAATGTCTTCTGCTTCTTTAAATCACCTAACGGTCCGCATTCGATTCTATTTACAATCCGGAAACGCTACGAAAGAAACGTGTTTTCACAATTTTTTCTTTTAGCTGGAACTAAAGCCGTTCTCGGAATGGCCATTGTTCGATTTCCTTTCCCCTCTTGAAAGAAGAAATCTACCTTCATGCTGTGAAAAAGATAATTTTTCTGGAAATCGGCAAAAAAATGGAGTGGCGGCTGCATTACCCATATTTTTTCATACTTCTGATTTTAATAATCTGTCATAGTTTTATCGGTTTTTATTGCATTTTAATACTTTAATATAGGTTTATAAAATGTAAATATTCGGAAATGCTTAATAATAACCTTGGAAAAAGATGTGAAGTCACTAGGCTTCTTTTAAGCAGGAGATGTGAAAAATGTGCAATGCCCTCACCGGGACTAGAACCTGGGCCTCTCGAATACGCGCCGAGTGTGCTACCACGTCTCTTAGGATTGTAGAGTCATTAGATTAGGTTAAGTTATTTAATTACTGCAAGGACTCGAGGGCTATCTGCCTAAGGGGAGGGATGCCTTCGTGGAGGTCTTTCTATTAGAGTCATTCGGTTTTTTGAATCAGGAAACGTCAGTGCCCTCGCCGAGGCTCGAATCCTGGACCTCTCGAATACGCATCAAGTATGCTTCCACTTACACAACGAAGGCACACAGAAAGAAAGGAGACAATGCCTTATATACTCCCCCTTTTAAAGAGCGACTGGAGATAGAGGACCACTCTCCAAATTCTGATGATGACGAACCATCGTCCATTACCTTTTATTTCGGCGCCACTGGAGTCATTAGGATTTTTTATGCTGCAGACGTGAAAAATGTGCCATGCACTTATCGGAATTCGAACCCTCTACCTCTCGAGTATCTGTCGAATATGCTGCCAATTACACCACGAAGGCAAGAGGAAAAAAGGGAGAAAATACCTTATATGGTTAGAGGACTAATTTATCATTTACCAAATCGAGTGTAATCCTACAGCATTATTACATTATTTAAGACAAATAGCCATTTGTATTTAATGCAAATGATATTTTAATCAGTTGAAATTAGGTCTAACGCAGTACCAGAAGAAGGACATTGGCCCTTTCTGTGTGACTGTATTCATGATTTTGATGTGACTGGTGCAAAAATCTTAAATCCAATTACTGTGAACATTCGCTCTTTTTTAAGTAGGTACAGAATCACACGTAATAAATCAGACAAGAAAATCAACCAGAAATCACACCAAGCAGAGTCGTTTAATGTAATATAAAATTTCCAAATTTGGAAGTTTCAGCAATTATTATATTTTTATCACTGAAGATAAAGTGCATCTTGGCTTCTCGTATCAAAGGAATAGACTTTCAATTTTTTTTTGGGGGGGGCGGGGTGAGGAAGATTAGGTTTCGTTAAAGTTTAAGCATGCTTGCTTATATATGTCTTCTGAGGGCTTCCATTACTTTATTTTTATTAAAACGTGCCAATGCAGTAAGCCAGGTTTACACATCTACAGTTGATAATAGTGTCATTGTTGTTTGCATACATGAAAAATGTAAAATTATTAAATTTTACATAACAATAGAAATAACAACCAAAACGGGTCTTGAAATTTTAGACAAGTTGACTAGAGAAATTTACAATAAACTAGAAAAATTTAATTGGAATTCATCTTAAATAATAGGAAACAAAATTCTAGGCAGTCTCATGAGAACTAGAAAAATTTATACTGAATTCTTTTTAAATCCATTTATCTGCTATAGCTCGACAAATAAATACTACCTTTCACTGTTTTTTTTTTTTTTTTTTTTTTTCCATTTCATTTTCAGTGGTAATGATGAGTGGTCATTTGAAGAAGATATCGAAAAATTTGGATGCAAAGTCTACACCTTCGATCCTAGCTTACTAAAAGACAACCACGAACATAAGCCTAATATTTGGTTCTACCGTGTTGGAATTTCAGATTTCAGTGAAGACAGGTATGTAAATTGATTTAAATTCTCTTCTTCTAGCAAGTATGCATATATTTGTTCTAATTCTTATAAATACCTGATTGAAAAAATGAAACTTTATGACCGACTGCCATGCATCCTTCCTTTATCGCCCTTCCGTTATCAACTAGAACAAATTTTGTTTGGGGAAAGTGCAGAATCGTTCACTGCTTGGCTCGTTTTTAAGAATTGCATATACTCGGTATTCATGTACACATCGACCTGTTTTCACTTAAAAAAAATCCCAGAATTGCACAAAAATCGCATTGTGCACTCCCTTGACTTTATCCATGTACACATCGATCTATTTTCACTTAAAAAGTCAAAGAAAATCGGCAAAAATCCAATTCTTCTTACTCTTGTAAAAAAACGCCAAACAAATAAGTGGGCGATTCTGCACTTTTTAGCCTTTTGTTTAAATAACCGGTTAAAATTCCATAATCGGGGTGAGCGCCAAGCTTGGCGAGAGTTTTTTATTTGGCGCGATTTAATTTGTTTGTGGTTTCCGACTGTATGTTTTCTGTTGGCAAACCTAGAGCTTTATTTCGGTAACTGTAAGAGCGCAAATTTAGTGAAGCCAGATTTTTTTTTAATTTAATTTTGAAATCTGTGTTTGTTTTTAAAAGTTTTACTGTTTAATATTATTGTTATATATATGTTTAATATTATATTTATATAAATATTTGCAGAAGGTTAAGCTGTTGTTGGTGGGAGAATGTTAGATTTCACATTACATGAAGTTTATAACTTATGAATGTTTTCATTTAATTTTATTTAGTTAATTTTTTTATAGTTTTGTTTCTTGTATGTGGCAATCAAAAGATGTGGAACATTTAAAGCTTTGAACGAAAGTTGTTTAGTGTGTTGAATTCTACGATGATAGTAACTTGAATATTTTAGTTAGTTTATGGTGCTGAATACGCATAATTTGCTATTCTGTTTACGTTTAAAATTGACTTCGCAGTGCTCTGATCTGTTAAGTGTATACATTTATTTACTTAACAATTATTTATAAGAATTGTTCATTCTACCATTTTATGATGAATTACATATATATATAGGACTATGCTTTTACTTGCAAAGCTGTTGGAGTTTGTTTTACTCATCTAGTATTTTATCATCTCATTTTACTATTCTGTTTACATAAAATAACGGCGTTTCACTACTGCAAAACTTAAAAGTTACTATTCTGTTTACGTTTAAAAATCACATTTTAGTGCTTTCAGTGCTTTCATTTAGAGCGCCTAAAAAATTCGCCAAATTTTGAAGACCAAAATAGTTTGGCGCCAACTTACCCCGCTTATGGAATTTTAGCCAAATAACCTTCTTCAAGATGATGTAAATGATAACTTTTTCTAAGCCGATCCTTTAATTCTTTCCATTTGTTCACTGTAAAATTTATTGTTCCACTTTATCCCACACATAGTCTGTTAGATTAGTGTCTTTAGGATTTGGGGGCCAATCATTAGATGAAACTCACCCTAAGTTCCATGAGCCATTTTCAAAAGAGAACAGCTTCAGTATAGCCCATCTTCAAAATTTGCGAATTTTTTTGGCGCCATAGAGCGTCAAATACAGTGTTTTGAAAAATGGTTACTATCAAGATTTGCGACAAAACTGCGTGTTTCAAAAATGTTGGAACAGCTTTAGTATAGCCCACCCAAAATTTTAACCAATAAATATCGCCAAGAATGACGATAAATGATATGATCTGGCAACCCACATCGTTTACAAGCATGTGGTAACCCATACCATTCGGCAAACGCAATGTAAACAACCGTAAATTTTCTGATTTCTAAAGAGAATGGAATTACGGTTACAGCTAACATAGTGGGCAATTACATTTATTCAGTTTCAATACAAATTACCGAGATATCCATTTACTCTAAGTTAAATGCACGTGCCCTGTGTTCTTACTTTTTCGGCATAGCTTTCTCTTAAAATTTTTGTCTCGCGCTGCATTGTACGGGTAAATACAACATTTTTAATTAGAATTCTACTAAAATTAACTATCTAAATACAAAATTCGTAACTAAAATTAACTGTCTAAATCCAAAATAGCGAGTAACTAAAATCCGTAACTAAAATTAACTGTCTAAATTCGTGAGCGATTGTTTAACGCTCAGATGTTATCGAGAATACTGTTTTGGAGATAAAATTTTTGCATTTAGTTACGGATTGCTCTAAACCTGCTGTTAGTGATGTAATTATGTATCATGCGATTTTAAAGAAAAATTTAAGGTGGGAGTTTTCAAACAAGCCTAAAAGTTTGGGAAAGCAAGGCATTCCAAACAGATATTTTATGTATGAAATAACAAGAGAGTATGAACTTGTTAGAGGATTTTTGATGGATTGTGGATTATTGAAGGATAGAGTTTGTTGTGAAAAATGTAAAATACCATGCAAAGCTATCTTACATTTGAGAAAGGCCAAGCAAAGGTGAGATTTTCCGGCATTGGTTTTAAAATTACATCCTTTTAACAACCTTAATCATTTTCATTAATCATTCCTTAATATTTTTTCTTTTAAAATCGTGTATAATAGTCGTAAATTTGTTTCTATTATCCACGATTTCTAGCGAAATCAAGATGGCCGCCAACTTTGAACCATGGAGTTTCGTCGAAAATCTCGATGGTAACCATTTTTCAAAAGAACATATTTCACGCGCTTTGGCGCCAAAAAAAATTCGCCAAACTTTGAAGGTGGGATATACTGAAGCTGTTCCAAAATGGAGACCATCTTGTTTTCACCAAAAATCATGGATAATAGAAATAAATTTACGACTATTAAAGGCGATTTTAAATGAAAACAAAATGTTAAGGAATGATTAATGAAAATGATTAAGGTTAAAAAGATGTAATTTTTAAAAACAATGCCGAAAACTTTTAGATATTTCGCCCTTAATAAATAATTATGTAATTAAGAATTAATTAACTGTAAATTAAGCTTACTACAGGTGAACCAAGGTCTTAGCTTAATTGACTTCTCAGCCCTACATTTTTTGCAACTCCAAATACTATCATTCGATGACTTTTTCTGACTAACTAACCCGCATGGTATATTACATTTTCCACAACAAACTCTATCCTTTAATAATCCGCAATCCATCAAAATTCCTTTAAAAAATTCATACTCTCTTGTTAATTCATACATAAAATATCTGTTTGGAATACCCGGTTTTCCCAAACTTTTACGCTTGTTTGAAAATCACATCTTAAATTTTCCTGTAAGATCTCCTGATACTGAATTACAACACCATTAACAGCAGGTTCATTAGGTTTATTGCAAGCCGGAACTAAATGCAAAAAATCTCACCTCCAAAATAGCCAAAAATCTTATCTCCCAAACAATAATCTCCACGATGTCTGAGAGTTAAATATTCGTCGATAACAGTGTTACGAATTTTGTATTTAGCTAGTTAATTTTAGTAGAATTATAAATAAAATAATTTGCATTTCCTCATGAGACAAGTTTTAAGAGAAGCTGTGGCGGAAAAGTAAGAATACGTGGTCCCAGGCATTCAACTTTGAGTAAATGAATATCTCGATAATTTGTATTGAAATTGAATAAATATAATTGACCACTATTAGCTTTAAATGTTAGCTGTAACCGTAATATCAGAAATTTACGGTTGTTTACATTACGTTTACCGAAATGGTATGGGTTACCACATCCTATCATTTATCGCTATGCTTGGCGATAATTTTTGGTAAAAACTCTGGATGGGCTATACTAAAGGATAGCCCTCAAAAGTCCACATAGTATGACAGATCATATTATCCCGTTGAAAACCAAGTTCTGAAGTAAGGGCGAAAACGTTGTTCTGAAGAGATGAAAAAGAGTCTCTTTAGATAAAGTAAGTCTTCGGCTGCAGTAATACTTAGTTAAGAACGGGACTTCAAATTCTATTGTACGCTAATGATTGAACGTAAGGTTTTCCTGCAAAATATTGACCAATATAGTATTAGATTTATTCCAATGGCTTGTTTTTTATCCATGGTATATTTTGATGTAAACACTCTAAGAATTAAATGACTGGTACCTGCAATTCGAATAATGCAAACAGAAAATCGAATTCATGAACCTACTCTTTTATGAGGCAAAGTTTGTATGCTTGTAAAATTGTTATAGGTGGCGTCAAAACTGAACCAATGATAGTTAATGGAGAGTTCTGTTGTAATTCTCCCTCTATTAGAATCATAGTTTCCCAACACCTTTCGGCTTCCCCCCCCCTTTGCTTTTGTCCAGCATCCCCTATCTGTAAACTATATCTGCTACCAAAATTTGAAAGTGTAATCGGGGATGTAATATTTTTTAAATCTTGAAAATTGAATTAAATAAAGAAATAAAATAAAATAATTATAGATATAATATGAAATTTTAAATTTGTTTATTAAAGCATCAAGGACAGAATTACTCAAGATGAAATAAAAATATTAAAGCGTTCTCTTAAAGGAGAGGTTTGAGCCTGATGAAATGTTAGCTGATGAAATAAAAGTCGTGAACAAATCAATATTAAAAATGTTTCTCGAACATGACATGCCCAAGCATATTTTCCAGCAGTTTGCCATAACTTTCCTTTGGGTAAGAACAGTCTAATCACGAAGGACAGGAGGTCCTAGTTCTAAATCCTGGAGGGAAGTCTTAATATATTTTCACTGTTAGATTGTACGTGCATCTTAGTGTATTTTATCATGTTGTCTAGGTTCATGCCCAAAGAAATGACAACTTGGCGAATGCGCACTTTGGACGAAATAATGGAATCTCTTGGACACAAAGACAAAACTATCGATGTCCTTAAATTAGATATTGAAGGAGACGAATGGAATGTTTTAGAAGATATGCTTCGTAAAGGTTTATTGAAGGTGAGTACTTTTTAAGCTTTTCGAAATCTTTTTCAAAGAAAAGGGAATACATTTTGTAGTTTCCTGGAAAAATAAAAAATAATAATAATAATAATAACAATAATTTTAAAAAAACGAAAGAAGAATAGATAGGACGTGACTAAAAACTTAATCTTCCAGAATTTAAAATCCCTAAGTGAGGGCGGCTAAGTTGAGGGCGAAGAGAAAATCTGGAAATATCTTAAGTTTTGAATTATAGTACGAATAAAAATAGCTTATTAATTTAAAGAAACTTCTTCTTATATCACTGAAAGAAATTTTCATAAATGGAAAGAATATACAATTCTGACATTTTGAATATATGACCTGAAGCCTGAAAAATCAAATAAAAATTTTTTAAGGGTTTCTTCTGCATATGTGCATTAACAATTATTATATTAACAACAGAACGATCTCAAAAGTACGCTTAAGCACTTTTATATCTATTTAAATGTATTATGACATTTCATGCAAAAATATATAAGATAATCTAACCAGAACTGAATCCACCCTTTTCGCCCTCCATAACGCAATCGGAACCAATATAGTATTAGATTTATTCCAATGGCTTGTTTTTTATCCATGGTATATTTTGATGTAAACACTCTAAGAATTAAATGACTGGTACCTGCAATTCGAATAATGCAAACAGAAAATCGAATTCATGAACCTATTCTTTTATGAGGCAAAGTTTGTATGCTTGTAAAATTGTTATAGGTGGCGTCAAAACTGAACCAATGATAGTTAATGGAGAGTTCTGTTTTAGTTCTCCCTCTATTAGAATCATAGTTTCCCAACACCTTTCGGCTTCCCCCCCCCTTTGCTTTGCTTACAGTTAACGCCTTTGCTTACAGTTAACGCCCCCTGTAAATTAAACATATTTAATTGTCACTTTGACAAAGAACTTAACTGGCATCTTACGCAAATCGGCGTCCTAGACTGCTGACTATGTCGCCTGTATTTGGAGCCATATCTAAATGTAACAGTATTCCAGAATACTTAAAGAAATTCAGCTTTTTAAAATTCCCATTCCTTTTTCAGTTTTTGTATTACAACAATAGCCCCAAGATATTTTTACTGGATAAGTACTGCACAAGTATTTCGTTATTCTACAGAAACATATTCTACAAACAATACGTTTTATTTATTTTATCATACTGTAATCCAAAGCTCTCTTTATTTGTCAGTGATTTAATATTTAAAACGGTAACTAATACCCTGAAGTTTTCAGTTTTATGCAGCAAAAAAAAAAAAAAAAAAAAAAAAAAAAAGTTTCTCGAGTCCAGGCAAAATCTTTCCATGTAAAAGGACTTCAGATTATAATGAATCAGTTCAGTTACAAAGCAAATCCCTAGAGTCATGGGTGGGTAGATATTACCAGAAGTTGGCTGAAGAAGAAGAAATTTGCTGTTGGTATAGGCTTTAGCAGCAACAGCTAACTGCGCGAAAGGTTGGGTTCAGGTAAGAAATAAAAGTCATGAACAAATCAATATTAAAAATGTTTCCCGAACATGACATGCCCAAGCAAATTTTCCAGCAGTTTGCTAAAATAACTTTCCTTTGGGTAAGAACTGTCTGATCACGAAGGACAGGAGGTCCTAGTTCTGAATCCTGGATGGAAGTCTTAATATATTTTCACTGTTAGATGTACATACTGTTAGATGTTACTGTTAAAAATATTAAAACGTTCCCTTAAAGGAGTTTAAGTAAAACGTTCCCTTAAGTATTAATTTAGAAGTCAAAAAAACAAAAATAAGCGTTATGTTTTCAAATTTTCACAGGACTATAGTTTCGATGGTGTTACGGAACCATCAACCTCAGCTGCAAAAGCGCAAATGAATGAGATAAGATATAGTGATTAGATAAGACAAGAGAGACTGGACAGGAGTTAAGCCATTGGCGCCATCTGTTGATGAAACGAGAATTAGATACCTTCCATTGGTGAATTAGATTTCCTAGAAGTATTTCACATTCAAAAAATCTTTCTGTTTTAGTTAACGACACTAATTCCAATCCATCTTTGCCTTCAGCCTTTAAAGAAATTATGTTTTTGTTTTCGTTTCATCAACAGATGGCGCCAACAGCTTAGAGCCTGTTCAGTCTTTCTTATCTTATCTAAATGACTTTATCTTATCTCGTTCATTTGCCCTTTTGCAGTTGAGGATGATGGTTCAGTAAAACCATCGAAACTAGTCTTGTGATAATTTGAAAACATAACGCTGATTTTTGTTGTTTGACTTCTAAATTAATACATCAAATATTTCAATTATTTATATCATGCTTCTAATTTTTGAAAATTCTGTAATAAATTATTTGTTATGCAGTATAGTATAAAAATGGTTAATAACAGTGTCTTAATTCGTTATCCAGTAAAATATTAAACTATCTAATTAATGGTATCGATAAAGTATCTGATTTTACGAAATAGTCAGGTATTAACAATACATAAGTTAAGATACTACAATACCACTCGTCAAGTATTCTACAACATTTAAAATATATAGTCGAACGAATATTACGATTTATAAAATGTATTTCTTGCAAAAGAAAAAATATCATTTAAAAATATTGTTGCGTGCGTACGGGTTTGTTATAAATTGAATGCACCAGTCCGATGAAAAATGAATAAAATTATCCGATTTCGCTACAGTAAATTACAGCAGTTTTCTAAACAAAACTGAGCTGCTTGTGTTCTATCTCTGCCTTTTATAGCTTTTTAAATCGACCGCAAGAGATTATTCTAGCAGTTTAGCTGGGACATGGGGGTTCTAGCTGGGACATGGTCTTAATTTCCGTGCTCTGGGGTGTTCTGCAGTTCTTCCGCACGTGGCCTTCAGCTCTGCAGTTCCAGCACTTTGGTTTCTTTTCACTCCTTTTCCGTCCCATGGCATTTAACTGTCTGTTAAAAGCGTTTGTCTTATTTTCCGTGCTCTGGGGTGTTCTGCAGTTCCTTCGTAGGTGGCCTTCAGCACAGTTCCAGCACTTTAGGGTCGGTTTCTTTTCACCAATATTGAGTCTCAAGGCACTCACTGGTCTTGTCAAATCATCCGTTTTATTTTTAGTGCCCTAGGGGTGTTCTGCAATCCCGTCGTATGTGGCCTTCAGCACCACATCTCCAACCCCTTAGAGCCAGTCCGTTTTCACTCAAACTCCGTAAAGCGTCAACTTGTCTGAATAAATCATCTAAACGAGCCATCAATTGATCCACTGGCTCGTGCACCCCCAAAGCTCTGACTGGGTAACGATCTCTACGAGTTTCTTGCTAGGCTGCCTCGAATTTCATTGGGTATACTAGAAGCGCTTTTTACATCCTTCACATCCGCCGTTCGCAGAGCTTTCTGTATTTCAGGATCCCCCGTGCCATCGATAAAGTGCAAACAAGGATCTCCCTTGTTCCTCTCGGGCACTCCGTAAAGGCGAGGTGAGACAGCCTTTCAACATCCGTGGTGAGATCCTGGAGTGATTCAGTGGGCTTCTGTTGGCGGGATTTTAATTAAAGCCTACTGTAATCTTTCAAACATTTCTCCCCAAAGCGTAGCTCCAGTGCGCCGGAAAGAGCTTCGAAATCTAGCCATTGGTTTTCTGGGAGAGTTTGAAAAATATCTACTACGTCTGCTCCCAAAGAAACGGCGAGATGACAGTCCTTATCTTGGGAATCCCATCCGTTCGCTTCCGCCACTAGTGAAAATTTCGTCTTATACACTTGCCAAGAAGTCTTCCCATCATATGTGGATAACTTTAGGGAGGGACGAGCAGGCAAGGGTAAAAATTTAAAACAATCAAAATTACTCCCTGCTGTCGCTACGAATTTCTTTAGGGTATCAACTTATTTAGCGACTGCAGAAACCCTGTCATTAATTTTTTGTTCCACGGCAGAAACCCTCTCCTCTATCTGTTCTTTTACAGAAGAAACTCTTTCTTCTATTTTTTGCTTTACCGAAGCAATTCTTTCTTCGATTTATCCAACTTTATTTTCAACCGTATCGATTCTGTCTTCCATAGCTTCAAATTTATTTTCTATTATGCAGGTAATTTCTGTTTTCATTTCCTCTTGGCCCACTCTCATTTCTGCTTTAACACCGTTCATCTCGTCTTTAACACATTCTTGACCAGCTTTAATATCTGCTTTAAAGGATACTTGGCCAGCTTCCATCTTTTCTTGAAATGTAGCAAATGCGGTTATCAACTGCTTTAACTGTTCTTCCATCGCTCTAGTTATTGGCATTCACCCACTCCTGACACCAAAACGTGTTGCATGCGTACGGGTTCACTATGAATTGAATGCACAAGTTCGATGAAAAATTAATAAAATGCATTATTATCACAATAAAGAAAAGAAAAATACTTAAATTTCCTCAGATATTCGTACAATATCCCAATACCTCACAGTATTAATTTAGATGTCAAACAACAAAATCAGTTATATTTTCAAATATTTACAGGACTAGTTTCGATGGTTTTACCGAACCATCATCCTCAGCTGCAAAAGCCATTTGCCTCTCATTTTAGGTTTCTAAAAATATGTTAAAAAATGTTTTGCGTCTCAAGAAAGAATGTGGTCAGATGATTTAAATCACAGATGGCAGTGAAAGATTGCAGTTTTTTTTTATCAGTACAACGTGAATCAATAGAGCATGTAACGAAATCTTTTTTGCCAAATTAAAATATCATTCCGGGATGGAGATAAGATAAGCACCATCGCTCTCTAATAAGCCACTCAGAATATCAATCGGTGACGTTCATCAATGCATCATATGCAATGACATCGGTGACATTCATCAATGCATCAGCGCCCTCCAATAAGTTAGTCACACTCAGCATGTCGATCGGTGATATTTGATGAAATTCTGAGCCAAAGGTAAAAGTGAATTGCATTTGACTGTTTACAAACGAACTGAAATATTGTAAACACAAAACAACGCATGAAAGACGACTTCAGTCATCTAGGTTTTACACAATGTTCCTTAAGTTCAATAAGCTTCACGTCAAAGGGATGATATGGATTTGCTTGCTTCTCCGTAATGATTGGTATTCCGACTTCGGTAGCGAAATGAACATATTTTTGTCTTCTGAATCAAGTTTCTAAAACCTCCTGCGGCTTTTTTTTAACACGAGATTTTCTCCTTTAGCGATTTAATTTATCAGGCTTCGTTTGGTTAATTGAATATTGTAGTGTTACGTTGTACGGTTTCGTGGATGGTGATAAATAACAAATCAAAACAGAAATTGTTCTTCATTATTAAGCAAGGCAGTTCCAAAGACACGTTTAGAGACTTCGAACAACTACGTTGATTACGCTGAACAATCAGCAACACAGCTTCAGGCAATAACGGTGAAGACAGCTTCACAGCAAAGACCTAAAATACAGCTTCCGACTTGATACATCGCTTTCAAGCTAAGCTCTTACTGAACTCTAGATACTCTTCTATTCCGCGCACAGGCAGGGTGCATATAACTTTAATCTACCTTAAAGAACATACTCTAGAAAAACCGCTAAGATTGTTTCTAGAATGCTCTCATTTTGTCTATGGCATGTCGCAAATTTAGTCGTCAAATATTGATAAATAAGCGATTTCGCACCAAATCCAGCAACTCTGTCTTTCCTGCCTACCCTAACCCCGAATGAGATACATTTCGATGACCTCATTGATCATGTGACTTATGTATACCTTTGGCAAACAAGCAATGCAGGTGACCTCAGAGATCACGTGACTTATGTACAGCTAATGCTAACAAGCAAGATCATTCTTCCCTCTTCTTCTCTTGCGGAATGTATCTCATTGTGGAAAAGCTATCGCACTGCAACAGAGCATGCGTAACAGTATATCAACTCTGGAAATGAACACGTGGGAAAAAATAATAAAACAGAGGATTATTTTAGTAATTTTTATGCAAAACAATTAGATTTCATTATTAGTAGTACTTGTATGCAATGATGCAAATACACTGCTCGACACTAAAACTGCAACACCAAGAAGGAGAGGTCAGAAATTTATGCAAATTTTAGAGTAGACGCACGTCACTGAGTTATGCGCATGATGTGAAATGCGCAGATCTCCGACGCACGTGAAGTAAGATATAAGGGAAGGAACGTGCAGAATGGGCAATATTCGTGTCGTTATTTCTGCCAGACGAATTATCGAAGAAAGTTGGCTTTCACGGAGGATACATGTACTAGGAGAGATTTCCAGACCGCTGTCAACGAAGGCATTTCCAGCAGATAGATGATTTTACGAGGGGTATGGTGATCGACTGAGAAGGGCGGGTTGGTCCTTACGTCAAATCGCAGCTGATATCCACATGGATGCGAGCACGGTGCATCGGCTATGGCGAACATGGTTGGAACAAGGAAATGTGGGAAGAAGGAGGTGTGCAGGTGCAGCCAGAGTGACGTCAGCACGCGTGGATCCCTGCATCCACCGACAAGCTGTGGCGGTCCCGCAAGTCACTTGTACCACGATTCTGCAGCATGTGCAAGATACCCTGGATGTTCTCGTGCCGACCAGAACCATTTCTCGTCGATTGTTTGAACGTAGCCTGCACTCACGGCGTCCGTTAAGAAGACTGTCATTGACCCCACAGCATAGACGCCAACGTTTAGAATGGTGCCGGACTGGAGCGATGTGGATGACAGAATAGCGAAACGTCGTGTTCTCAGATGAGTCACGCTTCTGTTTATTCAGTGACAGTCGCCGCATACGTGTGTGGCGTCGACGTGGATACAGATCTAATCTGGTAGTAACTGTGGAACGCCCCACCGCGCGACAACGTGGCATAATGGTTTGGGGCGCTATTGCCTACGATTCCAGGTCACCTCTAGTTCGTATTCATGGCACTATGACGGCCGAACGATACGGGATAATATACTGCGGCCGGTGGCAATCCCCTACCTTCAGGGGGTGCCTAATGCAATTTTTCAGCAGAATAAAGCCCGACCACACAGTGCTCGCATCTGCCAACATACTCTTCAAGGTATAAAGATGCTTCCCTCGCCACCATACTCTCCTGACCTGTCACCAATCGAACATGTGTGGGATGTGATTCGACGCCGTTTTCAGACTCTGCCCTTGCCGCGTTCAGAAGACGAACTGTGGCAAATGGCCGAAAGGGAATGGTGAGCCATCCCTCAGGACACCATCCACTCTTATTGATTCTATGCCTAGACGTGTTTCTTTGTGCATCGCTGTTCGCGGTGGTCCTACATCCTACTGAGCAGACCTCTGTATTCTGACTATCATTTTGAAATAAAGATCACTTATTGCTGCTTGCTGTCTCTGTCTTTTTCCCAAATTTCATTACTTTCTGACCACACCTTCTTGGTGTTGCATTTTCAATGTCGAGCAGTGTACTTGTCAATAAAAATAATCAGGAAAGGAATGTGAGTGCATGCAAACTCACATAGTTTGAAGAAAATCAAATTTTACTTTTATATCGCATGTTCAGAAAAGAATAAATTTTAGTAAAATTTTAAAATTAGTATTTTTTGACGACTAAGTAATAGTTCTATAAAAATCATTAAATTTAACGTGAATCAAATGCTTGTTTAGTTAGCGTGTTATTTTCCGAGTCTTACCTCAGAAGCTATTGGATATTCTATGCAAGTCCTTGCATTCTTATAAATGATGTAACTATATTCAAACGTTGGAAATATTTACAAAACCTATGCCGAACAAAATTGCCGATATGGAAAATTGTTGTAGAGGTGGGGAATTGAAGCTGATAGTATAAATTCATTCCAGTCCTAATTTGAAAAAACAAAAAATTCGCTTTCGCAAAAAACTTTCCGATAAGCCAGGGTATATTTCTCGTTTAGAGGAAAAACAAATAAAAACATTTAAATTCATTCCATGTATTGAGAAGCATTCAAAAAGCTTTAAATACTACATTTTCTAAAATTCTTACTTATTTTTGTAAATCGTTCATTTTGATTCCGAAACATTCTCCAGAAAAAATACATGTCTAACATTTAAAATAAGAATTTTAGCTCAAAATTGATTTAGGAAAGGAAAAAAAAGACAGTTTTATGAAATGAGTTCAAAACATGAATTCACTAAAATGAATATTTTGAATAGATCATTTTCAAGAAAGTTTTATTTCTTGTATAAAAATATTTTACTTTACATGTAGAGAAACACAGTATTTACTACAAGACAAACTATATGATCTTGAAACAAGACATACTCGAAAACTAATATTCGATTTTCAGGTAGGACTGCATTCGTCTATGCAGACCTAATTGTTCAATCCCTTGTGGCAGTTGTAAATTGCAATTCAGCGCGCGTCTGATTGTGCATCGGGAATAATGCATCAGACTCCTGGGTTGAGGGATGGCAGTAAAGTTTTCGAAGTCACGCTTCTGAATCTCCTCGATAATGTCTTCCACACATTTGTCGCACTCGCCTTGAAGTACGAGAGGTACATGTCTCATCTCTTCGTATGAAATATAAGCATCAGGAATGGATCTCCAGATGAACCTCAGGATCTTGCAATAGGTTTCAAATGAAGGAGCTCCGATAATATGATCTAAAAACGAGAGAACGACCTCAAGAATATAAACCTCTCTGTTCTTTAACAGCTTCGCATCTGCTATCACTGCCACCTTGACTCGCCTACAGGATTCCCTGAAAGTATATCTTGTTTTAGTGGGACAAAAATCTTTTATCATTTGAGTAATAAAGTAAAATTTACTAAAAAATATCTTCCATTCTAACACTAATTTTCTAAAACTTACTAAAACAATGCTGGAATGAGACGTTTCTGCCCCTTAATTAAAGCTCAGCGTTTTCTAAATTCTGTTACCCAGTAGCTCTTGAAATTAGGAAAATTTTACTTCCTCTAAATTCTGCCATCCAATGAAGCTTTGATGGCGGCCCTGTACATCGAACATGTACTACCCATTGGGTACGATATGAAATTAAACACATAATTTTTATTCCGCATTTCATTTATGTCCAAATAACTTCTGCATATAATTATCTCCGATATCTTCTTCTAAAATGTTATGAAAGCTTTCTGAAATTTTACAACTGTGTAATATCAGTGAAAACTCCACAAGGAAAATGTAAAGTCAAAAATAAGTTGAGCTACCTCAATTTGATTTAACATGAATTTTCATAATCACATGCAGATGTTTTAAAATATTGTATTGTTTAGAACAGAGAAATAACTCGAGTACTGTGAAATGCATCTACAATTTATAGGATACTAGTTACATACAGTTAACTCAAAGTCGTTCAGTCGCTATGAGACAGATAAGCGAGTTATCGCTCCGTCTTGAATATTATCACAAAATCCTGCGAAGATTTAAATAGCCTCTTTATTTACTCTTTCAATGAACATAAAGCACAACTCTTGCATAGAAATAAACATCGCCACTTGTGACTATTCAAAATAAAAAAGTTTCACATTAAGAGTATCATAGTCAAAACTACACAAAGTGGCCTATGCTGGTTTTGTATTTCAATGGCGCATTTTAACGTCTGCTAAAAAAATGGCTAAAGCCGGAACATTCACTGCTGTGCGATAGCACGTAAACTGCAGAAGATGCTGCCAAGAGCTGCACATATCTAAAACTTTCAAATCTCTCAGTTATATAATAATATAATATATTATATAGTAATATTCACATATATAATTATAAGTATCAGTTACATAGTTTTAACGTCTTTCTATTTGATGCTTTAAAAAATCGGAGCCTGAATTTTGAATTTGTTTTATTACCTGTGTAAAAATTGGAAAACATTAACGAATATTTTGCTAGCACGTCAGTCAGTAAACAGCAAGGAAAAAAAAGGCAAACGATTACTATAACGATATTTTCAAATTTATACATTTAGTCGTGCCACTTCAAAATAAAGTGGGAAAAGAATTTACTGTTAAACAATTTTTTATATGTGAAGCTGGATAATTTTGAATCTGACCAGGTGCGTAAACGGTTATCGCAGATTCTAAATACGAAACTATTAAACATTAGATAAGGAAAGAATTTAAGCAAATTTATTCCAAAGATTGTTTACGTTCGAAAGAAAATACAGTAGAAGTAAAATTCTAAATGTTATCAAAGTCAATTAAATTTATCAAGAAAAGTGCCTTCGCTAGTTCAAAACAATGCCATTATGCAAACCTATTTTGTGGTGAAACGTATGCACTAAATACGCAGATTAAAGTTCAAAATCATTGCAATAATATTCAGGTGATGTGCAAGTTATAAATCATCTTATTTGTTTCTATTTTTGTTCAGTACCGGGAGATAAATTCAAAGAAGCATCCCAATAAAATGTGATATCAACAAAATGTTTGTATAACGTTTTGAAGAGAATGTAACATCAAATTTTCGTAGTATATTCTTTTCAAAACTACCTTCTTTTTGTTAAATGTTTGTTAATATTGTAGGGTTTATATTTATTTTAACTAACATTTATTTTAAGTTTAAACTATCTTTCCTGTCAAGCCTTACTTTCCCCTGGAACTGCCAATGCCAGAATATGTAAATTTGAGTAGAACGCGCAAGCATTCAAATTTATCAGCGGAGTATTCTGATTTAAATAGGAAGGAAACAAGTTCGGTGTGTGATATTCTTACTGCACGAGCGCGGAGGTAGTTAGCGAGAATTGAAGAACCCCGCGTTGCGGCCTATGTGCTTGGCGGGAAGTAGTGGTAATCGTTCCAGTGAGCTTCAAGTCTGCTGAATTAGCAGCGGTATTGTAAAACGCGGTGAGTTAGTTATTTTAGAGAGCCTCGCAGTTAGAATCTTGTCTTTAGTTTCTTTTCAGGTTATTATTTTTATTTGACTGCCGAGTTGGCACCGTCTGTAAGCGTCAAGAGGACGCAATTGTAATTTATTACGTTGAATAAAAAGGGACTTAAACCCTTCACAAGCTTCTATCTTTTATACAGTTTCCACAGTCACCCCTTGGCTGCGTGCAAGTTAGAGGCGCGCAACGTTATAATATGTTCTGAGATTTTAAAACTTAATATGGACCTGCAATATTCTTGGCTCGCGTTGACACATTATATCTTGACGAGCAACAATTAAAATGCCGTTAAGAGGTTGGTTGCCTGCGGAAATACACCGAAATTACTATAATGTTTCTTAAATTCTATATAATTTGCAAACATTTTATCAAAGTTTATGTTAAATAGTATAAATGGGGTCGTGCGTTTTGCTCAGTAAAATCAATGGCTGTAAAACTCTGATGAAAGATTTTAAGGCAGCATTCTTTATTGCGGTAAAAGTGGAATATTTCTTTGCAAGTGTAAAATATTTCACATCAGTTTCACTCAAATACAAGTTTTCTTTTTAATAGTAATATTTTGCTTTTATTATTAGCACCAGAGGTCTCCGTCCTCTCTTTAATATCCGTATCACTTTTTCAAGTCAAAGATGTTGAAATAAAAGTTATCATCGTCTATTATTTTTAAAGAAATAATATGACGAATGAAAAAAATTGCACGCAAATACAAGTAATAGATATTTCCATTAAACGTTTTCACCTTGTATAATTTTTAAAGAAAAAAATTATCAAATGTTAAAAAATGTATGGCATTACTCAACACTGGAAAGGGAATTCTAATGATAAGCTGTTTTGAAATATTTTGTGAATTTGTCATTAAATTTTACGTGGCGTAACTGCGAAGAAAATGAGGTTTAATAAATAAAATTGCAAATGCAGAACGTTAGTAATGAAAAAAAAAAGTTTCACCTTCCTGAGAAAACTGAACTATAAATGTGATGAATCGAAAAAAGAGTGGGAAAACTTAACACTCACTCGGGAATTCTGAACATATGCAGCTTTTAAACATTTTGTGATTTGGCTGTTGAATTTTATGTGGTGTTAGTGTGAAGGATGCGATATTTAATTGTAAAAATACAGAAACAAATTGTGTCAGCAGGAGTGAGTTTAGGAGCAAATCGGAAAACTGCACACTCAGCAAGCGCATAAAAATACCATAACAAACCCTCTGGCGTGAAGTTAAAATCTGAATCTTTGCGTTTTTAGCCCAAACGGGAGTCAGCCAAGAAAGGCTATCAGCCTCGAAACGACATTTTGCGCAAATCACTTTTCAAATTGTTGCCAAAAAATAGTATCGCTCTGTGTTATATTTAAAGAAAGCAAATTATGAAGAATCTTCATAAATGTATGTACGTGACATTGTGAAAAAAACAACGGTAGCTAGAGTCATAAAATTAGTTCTCCACTCGAATTTGGGTACTTTTCCGTTTTGCCGGGGCAGGCGATAAAGTCGCCAATAATAGTACAACTGATGCCAAACGGAATATCCTCGCTGGTAACCTTTTACGCCTCATTTTCAAAACAAGCCGCAGTCATTTCTTATCAGATTGATTGTTTTTTTCAATACTGGCATAAAATTACGCAGAACTTTTACCAGATAGTTCAATTTTATGCCCTAAGACCATTCGCGGTAATTAAGTCAATTAAGAAGCAATCACACCGCTCACCTGAAGTCGAAAATATAGTAAAGGCAAAGGTCAAGGGGTTAAATTCATCAATTCTAGTGGAATGCACCAGCGAAGTAAAATACTGCGGTTTTACATAATTTCTGAGTAAGCTATTCGTACGAATTAAAACAATTCGTGCATTTAAACTTGTATTCCAAATTAAGGTTTAACTTGAAATTAATGTAGATAATTACTGAGAGAATTAGATTTTGTAGCGTAGTTTACGTGAGATGAGATCTCTTGGGGCCACGTGATACGAACCGGCGAATCAGGATCTTGAACCATGAAAGCATATTAAATTCTTAAATTAATGTCTTTTCACAAAATTTTAAACGCTATTAAAATGTTTATACCTTCAAAATAAAAAAAAATCTTAGAACTAACATTTGTTAATATTTTTTATGTGTATACTGTATGTTGTCGCCAATAAAGTCTGCTTGGCGAGATTTGCGCCGGCGAAACGGAAAAATACCGGAATTTGAATTTGTTTGCATATTTGTTCATATTTTGTAAACTTTTAACGAACACTTGAGTCAAAACTGAACAATTTTTAAGGGGAAATGTAGCAACACCGTAGGGAATGAAACACGCGACACTATCCGCTGGACACGTCGTCCTGTCCACCTAAACACACCACACCAGAGAGTGTCACTGTCCATCGGAAATTCTAAAGATAGCTGTTTTTAAATATTTTAACAAAATGTTTTTAAATATTTTTAAAAAGTGCGCCGAGTTAGCTCAAATGCTCTCGAAATGTGCATGTATGTGTTAAAAAACCGCCCGCTTTTTATTCTTTTCTTCACAATGACATTTTATTTATTTTTTTATGATTTGAAAATAAAACAGATAACTATTACTACTATAAAACAGATAACTATGTATTTCTGTCTTCTACCAAATTTTACTTTAAGCACGTGTGCATGCTTAAAGACAAATTAAGGGACCTTCTAACAGGAAATACACATATCAAAATTACAATCAAAATAGCAAAAAATAGAATATTTAAATCGTCGTCAGGGCTTGGTGTTAACGAAATAAATATATGAATCTACCTGTTTTTTAACTGATAATAACAAAATTTATAAATTAGAATTTAAACTTCAATAATGATAGAAAATTAATCATAAAATCCTTCAGCCTTATCAGTGCTAATATTTATGTATTAAGAAATTTTACTTTTAACAACAAAAACGCTTTTTCATGTATTAGAAACATCAAGCCTTATTTCAAGTTATCAATAAATGCGTTGCTCAAGATCTGCGGATGAAAAACAAAATATATACTTTCAACATACATCAATTCCAAATGTGTCGCAGTAAAATAATTTCCAATAGAAAATACAAAAATTAAACATTAAAATAAAGACTTACCAAAATAGCGGGCGTCTGTGTAATCGAACCTCACTCGCCAACTCCTTTAGCCCTTCATTATCCAAGAATGGGTATATATTTCCAGAGTCGTACTTGAGAAGCAACAACAAGTTGTCCAGCTTCTTTTCCACGATTTCTCGTAGCAGATACATCAGACGTGGCTCAGAATTGAAGACATCATTTACATGAACCTTTGCTTTCTGCAAATGATACAAAATATACTCCGTTATTTGAGGTTTACACTTAAAGAATAGATATTCTTGAGTTCGATATGAGATGCAAAATGTGTGAAAGAATTCGGCAACGAGGCAGGAATCTTGGTCATGTCTTTCGAAGAATATCTTTATTAACTCAAGAGCTAACTTTAGCATAAGCTCATCTTGGAAAAAAGTGCGCCATGATTCATACCAATAAGTATCTTCGTGTCTTCTCAGATCTTCATCAAATTGGACAAAATAAATTTTGCTTTTTACGAAAAGATTATAATTTCTGATATGTTTCAAAAAAGTTTTCAGTTTTCCAGTTCCCGACGAATGTTGCTAACATATTTCTAAAAACATTGGTAAAAAATGAGGCTTCCAAAGCCTGGTATTCAATATCGACCTCATCTGTTCTTTCCCTTGGTTTGAAAATTTCTATCAGTGGCACATTGGGAACAACTTTCATACCATTACTACTGCTAGGTTTTGTAGCAAAATCCAAAGCTAAAAGCAACGATGTCGATCTACTGCGATGGAATTCCCGCACATTCAAGTCCAAGTATGCCAGAGAACTGATAACTGCGACACAGTATTCTTCATCCATTACTATCACCGATAAAGCTCAAGTAAATCTTCAGTAACTGATAAATATATCTCCTTTTCTTTTAATATTTAAATTCGATGATATTCGAAGAAGGCAGAGGCACGTCTGTAATTCTTTACCAGAACCGTGGGATGTGCACATAATACTGTGAGAGTTTTCCCATATGTGAATCAGAATTCCACGAGATACGTGATCTATTCTGTTGATTGAATGAAATGTTTGGAATGTTGTGGTTTGTTATATACAAATCTTTATCGCATTTCATTGCTTTTCCGGACCTATTGAATGAGTTGCCTATTATTTATTTGTGTCCTTTGTCAAGACTCTTTCATTCCCTTGTTGCTTGAGTACGGGTTTCACCTGTATTAACCTAAGTTTCAGGGAACCAATACGAGTACCATAACCCTGAAGTGACCTTTCTTTGTCTTTTGTTTAATGTTAGTGCTTTCATTCTTGCTGCGATTCTACACGGGGTCTTAGAAGTCCTGTTTCCATTACTGAGATGGGAAGGCATAGTTTTCCAGTCAGGGAACGAAATGACTTTGATTTACATCTGTAATATAGTAACAGAAGACTGACTGGATGGTGTTGAAACCGTATGGTGTTGAAACTTCATGGTGGGAGGCAAATATTTCATTTTTGGAAGTTAAAAATATTGACAATTTATGCACCCACATCATCAAAATAACTTGACAGTTAAAAGGTTAATTATAGCACAGGGCGATAATACTTTGTAACAACAGTTTGAAAAGTGATTCGCCGTTTGTAGTGAATCTACGCAAAATTGCAAAACGAACGCAATAGTCTTTCAGGGACAAAGCCCCTTTGGACTACAAAAAAAAAAAAAAAGTTGCTTCCAAAGATTTATTTTAATTTCAAAATTTACGTTTCTAATCAGCAGAATACTCATTGTCTGTGTAATCAATCTACCTTTCATGATTACAAGCATAATCAATGTTTTCCTTACTCTCAGTCTACAGTTACCACTTCCCGTTCGAAGACTCTTAATATAAGGTCACAATGCTGAGAACATTTCATGAAAATTTTTACAACTGCCTGTGAACACAGTGTGTCTATCCCAAAGGAAGCTTTTGATTGTGGAAATCCTAAAAGATATAGAAATTGCATTTCTACCTCCTATCAGCTGGTATTCGAGATAGAATGCCCATTCATTTACAGTACCTAGAGCCGGAGTTTCCAACCGGTTTGGAGGGGGAGGAATTTGGTCAAACTTTTATTTAGCTGTAAAGTATATGGTTTTAGTTTATGAAAATAAAAACTACTGTTATTCACGTTTTGGTACCTGTGCTTGTTATTGTTTAATTTATAAAAACATATCAAAAAAGTAATCTAAATCGAAAAATGTACAATAAAATACCCATTAGACGAAATAATGGAAACTGTTTTTTTTTTAAATGCCTTAGTCAAAAGGTTGAATCAGAAGATAAACGTTAGGGGCTTAAAAAAATAACCCAAATTCTCTCCACTAAACAGCTGGCGTTCAACAGAATGACTGAAAGCATTGTCCAAAATTCAGACACCTTACATGGAAAATTATTTTCGTCAGAAAATTTAGCCCTTTTCATAAGCTAGTCGTGGAAGTGTGACTTGAATAATGTTAAATCCATCCAAACGCTGTTTTAGTTTGTGTACTTTACAGGAAGAATTTCAACGTAAGTGAGTAATCACTTGAGTTCGTGAGACAATAATTAAAGCTTGGAAAAGGTTAAAAGACCCTTTATTATTCATATAAAGATTTAACTGAACTCCGTCTTGGAGTTGTACAATAAAGCCGACAGGGCTTGAACTTAAGAAACTAACAATTAAAACTTAACTAATCTTAACTAAAAAGATATAGCCGAAGCTGTCAAGATTCTAACGGACTTGGCCCCTTAACACTAATTGAGTGAGAAGCTATCAAGGGTCTAAAGTACGGCCGAGAGTAACAATAGCTTAAGAGACGGTAGTCTAAAAGGGCGGACGCGTGCTAGGCAGAAACTCTGGTTCTCTCTACTCAGAGAGTAGAACTTCGCGGTTATATACCGCTCTTCCTCATTTGCATTCAAACGTGATTCTAAAACTAGTACATTCTGGGCGAAAGATGTAAGTTGAAATTCAGAAAGGACAGGAAAGGAAGTTTAACTCAAAATTTAACTGTTAAATATATACCTTACATAATTATAATCCTTACAGCAAGAATGCTTAGAAAATAAAAAAAAATAATTCCTGTAAAGTGCACTTTAAGACGATGGTAAAAAGTTGATAGATTATAATTCAAAATGTTTTTTGAAAAATTTATAAAAATTATTTTAAAATAGAAATTTAAAAAAATAAATCATTAAAATGGGGAAATTTTATTTGGAATAAACCTGAATTCCGAAATGTGAAAGGAAGATTTAAATAAATTTAATTAAAAAAATAGAGATTAATAAATATATACCAAACTCAATTAACATTGAGGAGCTAAACTTTTGAGAGCTAATTGTTTAAAAACTATTCGTGCGATTTTTGCAAAACTTGGTAGTTTGGAGTAATTTGAGTCATAGAACTGAAATATGGAAAAAAATTGGTGTGTTATTTCAGAAAAAGTCGGATTTTGTGTCAAAATACCTATATTAGAAAAATGCTATATATAAATCTAATACATATCCTAAGTCGCGCTTGAGTTTCATCAATCGGCCCAGTACAACGGAAGATATAGAACTGTCTTATGGTGTGTGTCATGGAAGTAAGTCTAACTTCCTACCTCTATGGTGTGTGTGTGCGTGTGTAGTTTACATCTAAATTAGCAAATCTATTTTGCAACGTATGTTGTGACTCGTGTTTAGCAAGTTTCATTCCTTTAGCCATTTTAACCGCCTTCTTAAATTCTACCTCATTATCATTAGAATTACATTCACTATCACTAATAATAATTTTGCGTTTATTACTGGCACTGGAATTAATTAAACGTTCTCTACTTAACAAAAAAAAAAAAAAAAAAAAATAGCACTTACCCTTAAGTGATGTAGAACAGTCTTCAAGCTTCTTCATTTTTTTAAAATTATTCTGTCAGAATTTTTGTTCACAAGCATGAATTTCACTAGATTCAGATAGATTATAATGCTGCACAACTAATCCGAAGTTATCCTTAATAACGGTAACGTAAGTATCAATCCGTAGAGTGAGAATTTTCAAATTTTCCCTTTACGAGTCGACACGTGCAAAATCAGACATCATATCGGGAGTATATCGCAAGTAAATATTAGCAGAAGATTCTACACAGTCGAGTCACAATAATGTGACCACCTATTAAAAGCCAGAATAATCACCTTTCGCAGAGCAGACCGCTGCGAGACGTGCAGGAAGAGAGTCAGTTAGGTCCTGGAAGGTGTTCAATGCGATGTAAAGCCATGCCGATTCCAGAGTAGCGGCCAGCTGCGCTAGGTTACGCGGTTGGCGCGAACAACCAGATCGAGGTGATCCTACAGATACTCGATTGGGTTTTATGTCCGGGGAGTTTGCTAAGTAGGGGAGTATAGTAAACTCATCCTAGTGCTCTTCAAACCACGCACGTACACTATGAGCTGAATGGCACTTCGCATTGTCCTTCTGGTAGATGCCATCATTCTGAGGATCATTAGATGCCATCATTCTGAGGCGGACATTGTCCGCAAGGATAGATGCGCATTTCTGTTGATCCATCATGTCTTTCACAATGATAAGTGCACCCAGAAAATGCCTCGGAAACATTCCCCAGACTATAATGCTCTCTCCTCCAGCTTGGACCCATCGGGTGTTTGCTTTCCGACGTTTCACGCAGTATAGGCCAACGTCCATCTGTCCGATGGAGCATAAAACGTGATTCATCGAAAAAGGCCTCCTGTTGTCACTCAGTGGACGTCCAGTTGCGGTACTGGCATGCAAATTATAGCTTTCGTCACCGATGAACTGCAGTCAGCATAGGTGCTTTAACCAGGCATCTGCTGCGGAGTCCATACGCATCAACGCTCGCCGAACCGTCGTTAAGGAGACACTGTGGGTAACCCCTTGGTTCATCAGGGCAGTCAGTTGCTCAGCGCTTGTGTGTCTATTCACCGGAACGCATCTCCGCAGCCATCGTTCACCTCTGTCATCTCTGGCACGTGGTGCACCACACTTGCCACGTCGCTGATTTTGGATAATACCATTTTGCCAAGCACGGTATACTTTTCACATGGCGGCACAGAAACAGTTTACAAAATTAGCCGTTTCGGAAGCGCTTCCACTCTTGGCCCGAAAGTTAATGATCATGCCCTTCTGGACGTCAGATAAATCGCTTCGTTTGAGCATTCCGCCAACGATTTCAATGTTTTCTGATTGTCTGACACCCTTTATATACGCTCTGCTGCAATGTGATGTCACCTGTCATCTGTTTATTGGTCGAACGTAAGTGATTGACATCTGTTTATTGACGAACGTAAGTGAGAACATTGACGTCGAACGTAAGTGATGGTCACTTTAATGTGACTTGACTGTGTATATTCAAACACATATTTTTATCCGGTGAAGAGGACGAGATATCAACCCACGGGGTACGCTTAGCCGTAACTCCATTTTCAGGAACACTGGTCGAAGCATTTTCCAAAGGGGCAAAATCTCAGTCGTTATCCAAAGTAACATGCATGGTAATCCAAAAAAAAAAATTGTGGCACTTAAACACAGATAAAAAGCTCACTCGCAGAAAAGCAAAAGCAAGAATAAAAGCACATAAAATACACACAAAGAGCAGTTTCATCGGACATGGTTAGGCAGAGTAACTAACTGTCGGAAAGATTATATCCAAATAAATCACGTGTCTGTGTCTTCTTCGAATGTCATCGAATTTAAATATTAAGAGGAAAGACAATACATTTATCAATTACTAAAGCTTTATTGGAGGTTTATCGGCGATATCAATGAATGAATTGTCCTTTCTTGCAGATGCTACATGTCTGGCATACTGGGATTTAAATGTGCATGAATTTCATTTCAGTAGACTAATATCGTTGCTTTCAACCTTGGATTACCCTTCAGAATTGAAATATAGTTCAGAATCGGTAAAGACTGTGCCTAATAGGCTAATGATAAAAATTTTCAGAGCAACGGATAGAATAGATGCGTTATATTTTGAAGATCAGGTCTTAGCAGCCTCATTTTTTACCAGTTTTTCTAGAAAAATATTAGCAACATTCGTCAGGAATTGGAAATCTGAAAAATGAAAACGCTTTTTAAATATATCAGAGAATATAACCTTTTCACAAAATGAAACAATTTATTTGGTTTATGAAGATCTCAACCCACATAGCACAAAAACATCCTTGGGATATCCTGAGGATGTTTTTAGTGGGATATGCGCATATCCTCAGGACATCCCGAAATATCTCTCGAACCTTCTAAGCACCTCCTCCCGAGTGCTTAATGTCACATCCCAGTATATCCTCAGGACATCCTAACTAAGTCCCATTGACAGTGTACGGGATGTTATTAGGATCTGAACGCCTACTTACTACATCCTCAGGTCATCTCGGGATATCGCACTAACCTCCTAAACACATCCCAATTATATCCTCAGAACATCCTATCTAAGTCCCACAGCGTATGAGATGTCATTAGGATTTAAAGTCCTACTCACTACACCCTCAGGACATCCCGTAATATCTCAGTTTCCTCCTAAACTCATCCTGCTGAGTGCTTAATGTCACATCCCAGTATATACTTAGGACATCCTATGGGTCCTACCGACTGCATATAGGATGTTATCAGGATTTGAAATACTAGTTACAATATCCCTTTAACCTCTTATATACATACTCCCAACTGCTTAATGTCACATTCCAGTATATCCCCAGGAAACTTCCTTACATTCCAGTGAAAGTATGTGAAGGTGTTGTGATGATCTAACGCCTACTTATTTTACACAGACAGTCTCAAATCCTTCTCCTATGATTACTATGAAAAAATAAGAAATGTTGAGAATATTTATACAACTTATTTTTTTTTAAATCTGGATTTCAATTTATATAATAGTTTGTAAATATATTAAAACTGAGCAAGTGACTTAAAATAAATTATTAATACAAAATATTATATGCTAAAATTTTGCTTTTATTTTTAAGATATTAAAAATTTCCGATCACATTTAAACATCCAATAGCCCCAAATTGAATTCAATATATTCACAATTAAATTATTTTGCAAAATCCGTTTCTAATTTCAGTTAATTTGTATTAAAAATTCAATAAAATTAGCCATTTAATAATCTTTATAATTAAATAAATCCTCTTTCTTTAATACATGTAAAGAGTTTTTAGTGTTTTGATGAGACTGTTAGGAAATTATTAAAAGGAAATTTTATTTTTAAAACTAAATCAATTCCTAGCCACAGAATAAATATATTTTCTTAACATGAAAATGCTGCAGGCTTTTCTATATATTTAATATTTAGTTGTAAAAATTATGTTCTTGACATTGTTAACAATTCTTTACATCATTAGAAAGGTAACTGAAGAAGCTCTTCTAAAATTCTACCTTTCTGCTCACACATTAAAAAAAAATTTAAAAAAAAAAAAGTCTGAAAGACCTCAGATTTTAGCACAAAAGGCTCAAAGTTTAATATGGTTTATTAGTGGAGATTACCAATACAGATGGTGCAGTGGAAATAGCAAAACATTTTGTAGGATACTGACACCAGAACGTTATATATCTTCTATATATTTGAAAAGTGAAGAAATATATCATGAAATTGTATAAAAATATTAAATGTTTTCAATTAGATATATCATGAATTAAATGAATTTTAAATCAATCACATTAAGAAGTAAAAAAATATAATGTTAAGAACTGTGTGTATTGCTTTTAAATAGCTTGGCTTGTTAATCGATAACAGATTAGATTTTAAAGGTAAATATCTTACATTTTGCCAAATGGCAACACTTGAATGACAAGCGAAATGAGTTACAATTGACGATACAAAATCACATTTCGAGACTAGCGCTTTTTGTTTGAAAGAAAAAAGAAAGTCTGAAAATAATTTGCACTGGTTCATTGGTATTAGTTTATGCAAAATTCAATAAAATGAAATTTAGCAGTAGAAATCAGACCAAATCAAACTTTTTAACTTCTAGCACATGTTAAAGGTTATCTCATCCAGAATTTTATTACCAACCATTCATTTCAGAACAAAATAAAACAGTAATTGCCATTTATATGACAATCAATATCAGTGTCAAAAATTTAAATCTGCATTTATGCAATACAGAAGAACTCTAAAAGATGATCTACTGTATGTTTACCATGCAATTAAGGCATTTTATTCTGCAATCAACTCTACCAATTATTAATACTTCTAAGTATATACTCTTTCTGCTTAATATATGCTGTGTACGAGTTTCCATAATTTATTAATTCATTTTATTTTGAGGTGAGCTTTATGAACCAACGAGAATTTTTTATTCTGTCTCATCAATCATATCAAATATTCATCAATATCAATATTCTCAATGTACAGCATTTAGAAACAACATATGAAAATTAACTAATATGCAAGTTTCAGATGTGCAATGTCAAAAAACTAAAACTGGTAAATTTGGGAACAAATAGCCTCAGAATGTTTGACAACCGAAGTCCTCCGGACAATGCAGTATGAATATCCTTAGGATGTGAAATTGGTGAAGTCCTCAGGACATCTGAGAATCAACATCATCAGGACATCCTCTCATATCCCAGGACATAGCGACTTAAATAAGACATCCTCAGGATGTTAAATTACGATGTCATCAGGACATCTGAGAATCAACATACTCAGGACATCCTAAGTATGTCCCGGATATTGCGACTTAAATAGGACATCCTGAGGATGTTCTGTGCTATGGGGGTAAACACATTATTATTATATGCAGACATATTCTGATGTTGAAGACAGCACGCGACTGCATATGAAGTCCTTGTATGGCGAAAATGTTTAGTTAATTTTAGCATTTTAAATAAATAGCTGCTCTTGGCAACCTTTTTTGCTTCAGCTTAGGTAATTGGCACGATATGTTAAAGCCACTTTAATTCTTTTATTAGTATGGAAAAAAAAAAGTTTTTATATTACATTAAATTTAAATCAGGACGTCATACGTATTAACCTGAAGGTAGCAAAAGGGTTTTTTTTTTTTTTTTTTTTTTTTTTTTTTTTTTTTTTCTGGTTTGCTAAAGAAATTATTCACGAATTGGTTGTTGCTTGGAAAGAATGAACTGATTTTATTCATACTGATATGTTTTTATGCATTTTCTTTTCAGGTGTACATAGAACTTGTAAATTTTGTTTTGGCTGCAGTATTTATTAAAATTTGAAGCAAGCACTATTACAATTAACAAAAAATATATCTAATACTACTCATTATGTCCTAGGTACAGAGGTTCTGTATCCTAGGCCTTTGCATTATATCGTAGGTCTTCGGATTCGTAATAATGAGTTTCTTTTCTATGTTAGTATAACATTAGGAATGCAACCAAAGCGATTTTTTGATTAAGGAAGAGCTTCAGCCTTGTCATGGAATAGACGTCAACGTCTTTCCATATAATTTAATGTAATGGAATAGACGTCAAAGTCCGTTCCTTTACATTAAATTACTTTTTTGCGTTTTTTTCCAGCAGATGTAATTTAATATATTTAGATATATATATATAATGTAATCTAGCAATTAGATTTCTTCAAAAATATCTAACTTTATTTGTGCCATTCTAAAATATATAAATATATTTCAGAAAATCAACCATTTATGCGTGGAAATTCATCTGCATTCGATGGACTGGATTCGAAAGTTAAGTATTCTTAGACGTTTAGAAGACGAAGCTAATATGCGATTCTTCAGCTCCAGGAAAAATCTAGTCACCAAGCCGAGGCTTGTTCCAGGACTAAGTAATAGAACTGAACAGCTTTTTTACGAACTTGCTTGGTATAGAGCACTTGAATCGTAGACTGTTCGGAAACTTTTAATACTGGAAAACCACATCGATTTCTTTCATTGCTTGAAGTAGGTGGCAGTGAAGCCAGCATAATATAAGCGTGGCATAATATCTAGCTCGGTAAAGTGGAAAGAAAAACTAGGGCACTGAAGGAAATTCAGTTGCCGTCTTAAATCAACAATCTTGAGAGTGTAGTTTCAAGCGAGCAAATGCTATTTCATCAAGCGTGTTGACTTCAACATGAAATGAACAAGAATTCGAAGTAAAAGATACTTGTTTTGCAGCAAAATAACGATAGAATATTAATACTATTCACATATGGTTTGGTACAGGATTACAGAAAAGTGTTTCCTTAAGTTTTAGAGATGGAGAGTAAACCAAAGAATCCGTAAACTGAGAAGTAATGTGTGATTTTTTTAAATTATTTATTTATTGAAGAAATATTTTTCTTCGAATCTTGAGTATAATTTCTTCTCGTGTATTATTATTATCGTTTTATATCTAAGGTACTGGCGCTAGTGGATAATACCCGTAACCTCTTCACCGCCGTACAAAACTTAAATAGCTGCTTGTTTTTTGCCCTCCAATGAAAAATATTTTCCGTCTGAAATGGGCGTAGAAATATTTCTTCCCTCCTTTCACCAGCTTTCAAGAAATATTTAGGAAACCGCTTACATGTCGTCACACTCAAGGGTGCTCATACCCAAGAGAATATCAATCGTCTTCATACCCAAGAGAAAAATTTTGTGTCCCCAGTGTCTTATCTAAACATTGATAAAAACGATTCCCTAAAGGTACTCTTTCAAATGACCAGTAGTTTCATTGCAGTACCAGCTGAAAGGGTAGTGGAAGTGCTTTCTGAGTTTTTTCAAGGTAATATATTTTGTGTGATCCTAATACTACTCCGCTGTGAATAAACCGTGACCAATTAAGCCACCAATCATCTCTTTTCATTTTTGCTACATTGGGGGGGGTCGAAAAGACGAAGCGACGAGTTCCTCAACTCTGACGAATGGAGACACCTTTCAAATTGACGAGTCTGTCTCGGGGTAAATGGTTAAGAGGTTAAATCTAGAAAAATTCATAAACGATATCCAATACATGAGACTACACAATTAAAAAGAGTAGAAACAAAAATAAGAATTACAAATATAAGTTGAAGAAGAACTGATATTGTGTTTCTTCCTACAAAATAACAGTTAAAAATCCTCATTGCAGGACAAGATGACAGGTTGTTCAAATTCTTAATTATAGCACTTACATCACAAGGGAGATTATTCAAGACTGATGCGATTCAAACGAGTTGCAAGGCAATCACAGCCTATAGACATACCAAAAGCAGTAATTATGAAGCATTAGAAGTTGCCATCTCTAAGCACTAAGTCTAATATTTTTTTCGTTTTGAAAATGGTGCGAGAACTTTTAAATGGTTGATCAATCACATACTCATGATTCTAGAAGCCATTAATTAAATCAACGATTCGAATGTTGGTAATTCATTCATGGCAAATCTATTCTCACAAATAAATGAAGATATACAGCTTTTCACAACATTTACGATATAGTATTTCAAAATAGATATTGTATTTTTATTATTATTATTTTTAATGGACTTTAATAATTCAACAATGCTCATGCGCTCTAGTCAGCGGAAACTTTAAAACTTATACATGGCACAAAGAACAACAGTTTTTATTATAAATTTTTGTTTAGTGTTTGTCGCTATGGCCATGATGGTCATAAATTTGTCGGTTATGGCCGGAAGTCTGTCATCGATTTTTACACTACTTCCTGATAAGCTATGGAATTCAAATTCTGTGTACACATTGTTTGTAAATGATAATGTAATGTGAAAAAATGACTTTTTTTTTTTTTTTTTCAAAATTTGATTTCAATTCGAATTTTTGATTTTTTAAATGTAATCAATTAAACCATTTCTCACACATATCTTCGTTTAACATACAAACTAAAAACCTCAGAAATTTACTGTTTCCGCCATCAGATAGAGAGGGAAAGAATCTTTTAAATGAAATTTGTATCAAATTTTAACGTCATTTATTATTTGTTGGCATATATTCAAAAACTGCTCGCTTATTTTCGATTGTTTATGATTTCTATGATTCTCTAGTTTCAACACCTAATCACGTAAAGTTATCCTATTTAGACCAGCGGGGAGAGCATTCTGGTAGACCTGTTTCATTGAAACTTGGTATAAACTACACTCATGTCCATAAATTAAGGATAATTCGGAGTCACGCGGATATATCACCTGTAAAATCACTATACCCATCTTCAAGAATCATATGCAAATTTCAGGAAGTAACCAGATGACACCGATGGTACGTCACAATGACGAGAGTGTAAGAGAGTAATATATAAGGAATACAGGCAAAGAAGTAAAATTGTTCGCAGGCGCTTTATAAGTAACTCAGTGCAATAACCGAATTGTTATGACACAAAGGACGCATTTGGATGATTTTTTACGCGGTAGAATTATCGGCCGTCTGGAATGTGGGCGTACTCAACTGGAAGTATCAGACGAACTTGGAATTGCCCAGAGTGTCATCTCCAGGCTTTGGCAACGATTCCAAGATGATGGTAATGTGAGTAGACGTTACAGCACAGGTCGCCCCAGAGTTACAACGCCGAATAAGGACCGGTATTTGGCAGTTACTGCCAAAAAAAAAAACAGGGGCGGAGCACAGCCTGAGACCTGCCTCGTCAGCTCTCTTCAGCCACTGGTACGACAATTTCAAAGCAGACCGTGTACAGACGCTTAGGGCAGCTTGGTCTATATGCTCGTAGACCTGTCAGATGCGTTCCACTTACTGCAACTCACCTGTCAACTGCGCTTAGCCTGGAGTAGAGAGCATGCATTGTGGACACCGCAACAGTGGGCTTGTGTGATGTTTTCCGACGAGTCCAGGTTGAGGTTACAGTCTGATTCTGCTTCGGACTTTCATATGGAGAGCCCGTTAACAACAAGAAAACATTATTGAACGACACCGTTACGGTGGTGCAGGATTGCTCGTTTGGGGTGGAATTATTCTGGATTCCAGAACGGACCTGCATGTTCAAATTGGAACCATGACAAGCCAAATCTATCGGGACGTCATTCTGGAACAACATGTACATTTGTTTCGGGGTGCCATGGGCGCGCACAATTTGTTGTTTATGGATGACAACGCCCAGTCCTCACCGTGCAAATATCGTAAGCGAATGCCTTCAATCGGAGGATATCACCCGTATGGACTGGCCAGCATTCTCACCAGACTTGAACCAGTAGAAGCACGTGTGGGACATGCTTGGCCGACGAGTTGCAGCCCGTCAACCTCCTTCCTACATGTCTACCGGAACTTCGGAAAGCATTGCTTTTTGAGTGGTGTAATATCCAAGATATTCCCCAAGATCAGATCGATAATTTGATACTCAGTATGCCTAGGCGTTGTACGGACTGTATTGCATCGTGTGGGAGAATATACAATGTATTAACAATCATACCAACCATGTAATATTGGTTTTTTGTAAATAGGTTAAATAGGTTTTTTTTTTTTTTTTTTTTGTTTTTGTAATTTGCTTCAGGGAGAAAAAAAATCGCTAATTTTTTTAATAATATCAAACATATAGCATCTTTTTTTGCTCTTTACCTTTTGTTTAATAAATAAGCTTTACAAATAAGTCAAATTGTTTTGCTTCTAACTCTTCTTTTGCCTGATTTTGCATTATCCTTAATTTATGGACATGAGTGTATTTATATGGACCGTGGGAGAATGAAGTCTGCAATAGAAATGAATAGTTCAAATTTCGACCGACAGATGTCGCTTTTCTTGCAATGTAGAAAGTGCAATATACGGATTCAGAGTGTTTTAAAAAGCAGGTATTAAAATGCCGTAAACTCATTCTTCACCATGCCTCTAGCGAAGAAAGGTCGAACTTTACTAGTCAAATTGTTTTATGAAAACATCAGTAATGTTTCAACTGCATTGCGAGGAACATTGACGCTTGAAAAGCTTGCGAAAAGAATCTATATCGATGTAGGCTTTGAAAAAGATGACTACTGAAAATCTGGACACACTGAGGGTACTGCAAGGAAAAAGATAGAAACGTATTTCAAATGAAACTGTGGAGGTTGCATTTGTCAAGGTCGAAAGAGCGTCCGGTTGTCAATATTCTTCGACAAGTGCTTGAGTGGTGTTACGTGATTTGTCTTTAGGTTCAGCAATCCACTGTTAAGTGGTATCAATAAAAGATCCCAAGTTCTGCGAGCCCAGACAAACGCACTGATTTTGCTATCGTTCTTGGCCAGAATAGCCGTTTATGATCTTGGAACATTTTATGGTCGTACAAGTCGCATTTTACCATAGACGAAGCAGTTAATATTCAAAACTGTCCTATATGGGGTGCTGCAAGTCCTAATTTTGTGCGTCAACGATATTTGTATTCTGATTGCATTACTGTATGGTTTTGCTGCTAATTTCATTCTTGGCCCCTTTTTGTTTGAGGAGAGCACTCTTCAAGGAACTCAAAGATGTTCCATCATGGCTTCCCGTTGAGAACTTCTTCAGCAACAAGTCATTCCTGCCTTACAAGAACGAGAATGCTTGTCGTCATGCAAGAGGGTGCATGACCTCACACTGTTGGACCAGTGAAGGCACAGTTTCATGCCCACGTAGATAATCGGGTGACTTCGAGAAGTTTTCCGATTGTCTGGCGAACATTCCCACTTCCGACTAATCCTTCTGACTTGAATTCCTATGATTCTCTGGTTGCAGGAAATCCTGAAAGATGGTGTCTGTAGAGGAAGCACATAGATTATGCCTGACTTGAAAGCAAGCATAACACGTCACATTCCTGCAGTTGATCGAGAAATCCCCTCGCGTTAATGTTGAACACTCCATAGCACGCTTTGAACTTGTGATTGACGTAAATGGAATGCACACTGAACAAATGCTGTGACTAAATAAAGTTTCGTCTTTCCAGTTTGTATTTGTTTATCTCCCTGCACTCCATTCTCATTTGGTGGTGGAAATGTTAACTGCTATTTTTTATTGCAGTTTCCTTTTCCCATAGTTGTTCATATAACCTATATACCAAGTTTCAACAACGCAGGTCAATCAGAATGGGCTCTATGTAGGTCTAAATGGAGTAATTTGAATTATTACCACCCTGTATTTTCGGGAACGAAAATTTTAGCCGCTTTCATAAATTCATTGCACTTCCTGGAGAACAAGCCTTTCATATATTTAGCTAAGGGAAGAAAAGCTTACCTTAAAATAAATTTTGTCTGCTAAAATTGTCATGCACTTATATAAGAAAAGTCCGGGAGCATTTTAATTTAGGGCCTCGGTGCGTTCTGGCTAGAATTACGTCGTGTCTCAAAAACTGAAAAGTACCTTATTTGGGCTTTGGTGGGCTCCGTCGCAATTTAAGCTCTGAATATTATAAACATTTTTGGGACTTTTAGAATTCTAACAAGCAAAAATGTATCTGTTATAAATATTCTGATAGAGATTAATAATGTTTTCAAAATTGATCTTTAATTAGAGGAAAATATAGTACACAACTCTTTATGGATTACAATACAATGTACTGAACATAATTTTTCAAAATTAGTTAAATTTTTACCACTCGCCGACATACATATATATATATATATATACACACAGAGAGAGAGAAGCAAGCGAGGTAATGTTTCCGTTCTAAAAATTCGATAGAGAACATTCAAAGAAGAATCATGCTTTAGTAGCCCCAGAACACGTTTTTTTAACTATATTTTCAGAATGACTGTCTATCTGTGAGTATATGTGTGACAATCTTTTTCGCATAAAATTTATAAACAAATTAGATTTTATTTACAAACGATCAACTGGAAGTGATAGTTTATTTAAAGCACACTGTTAGACATAGATC